AAACATGATGATATATGCAGAGTAACGCAATCTCTCCATCCCTCATGGACTTGGAACGAACATGAAAATGTAGTTGTCCTTTTTCACATTTAATAGCTTGCACTCCTCAAATTGAATGTTGGCAAGGACTTGACTCCGTCTCTCTTATAACTGGGCTGTGGCTGTGTTCAGATTGAATCGGTCACATTCAAGCTCACCTTAATTGGGAGTCAGCACACACCTGCCACAATTTAAAGTGCCTCAGATAACCTCAAAATATTTCCTGATGTTCAAGTAGGCTTTCCCTGACATTTATTTTGGCTATTTATCAGAAGCCTGCATGTTTTTTTTTGTTTTTGTTAACCGAAGCTGACGGCTATTTGGAACTGTTCATAATTCCTTCCACCAGTTCCAGCTGAAGAAAAACGGCCCCAAATCAGGTTGCAAGCACCACCGTGCATCATTAAGTGTTCTTTTGATAATGAGCGGTGTTGTTTGCGCCAAACATACCTTTTTGGAATTGATGTTCCGAAAGTTCAACCTTGGTTTCATCGCACCGTGCCAAAAACTCCTGCGAGGAAACAAAAAAAATGACAGCAAAAGCCTACTAGAACATCTGAACGTGATTTGGGGTTTGATTTATTACATTAAAATTCAACGATTTTACACAAGTAAATCTTTGTAGCTTTGTCGAAAACAGAAGTAGAAAAATGTGATTCATCGCGATAAATTACCCGGTACGGAAATTGTTGCAGTCAATTAGTAACTCATAATACATTGAGACCGCCATATTTTCTTCAATTTCTTCTTCATTTGAATCCCAGGCGCCACTGAAAGTATGTGAAGTGACTATCAAGTGACACAAAATCAAAACATGGAACACCTAAAAGTACAGTTTTAAAATTTGTTTATTTATTTTGGGGGGCAGAACAATGCCATGTAGCTATTGATGTAAGAACGTGAAAATTGATTTTGATTATTTCTAGAAAACCTTTGCCAAATGTCTCAATGGACTCTTAAATTCAACTCTTGTGAGCTGTTTTGGTTGTCATGAATATGTTGCTCCACATAAATGCGCCTGTAAATTTACAAGGTATTTAAAATGAACAGGAAGCTGAAGAAACTAGGTGTGGACTCATTTTATGATTTTTTTTTTTTTTTTTTAATTACCATGGCTATACAAGTCCGTGCAAACATTTATTAACAAACACTTCACAACAGTCGGATTTAATCTTGCAAAATTGATCCAAATGTTAGCTTCTGAGTATTACACAGCGACCAAAAATGCTGCTAAATGTTTCCTGAGCAAACAGCAGCAGTATTGTATAACTGACTCACGTTGTCTGCTGCGCTTTTGTTTCTCCTTAAGGGGAGTAGAATATTTCTGTTTTCGCCGTGGGAGTACGACGTCGTTCAGATGGCTAGGTGAAGCAAAGTGCATCGTTCCTCGTGCATACCGCTTGCCGCATGCCTCCTCTCCTCTCCAAAAGGATGGGACGCAGCCCCGCCCAGCATTCTTTTAACCTCACTTCATTGTTTTCTCAAACCTTGCAGAGTTTCTAAAGCAAGGGTGTGTAACAATTTAGAAGGGAGAGTTGGACAAGTGCGCGATCTGGGCGGGACGTGTTTTTACAACTGAACGTCATCAATCAGGCCGCGCGGTAGCCAGCCACATTTTGTTTCCTCTTTGGCCTGGATTTTGCCAAGGGGATCAGACCCCTGTCTTTGTACAACTTTGCAATAAATTGGTGGATAACGAGTTTTGAAATCAGAAGTCGAGAATAATGGTTGGTTCAGCCATTGTTTACGTTAATGTAATAAGTACCTAATGAGATAATGCCTGCAATACCTCTATGTAATGATGGATTACAGATGACAATTTTAAGTTTTGGTTGAGACTTTATTTAGCAAGCATCATGGAAAAGTTGACATGCCTGATTTGCTCTCGCGGGCCACGCAAAATGATATGGCGGGCCAGATCTCGCCCCGTGGCCTTGAGTTTGACACCTGTGACATAGAGCAGTGGTTTGTTGTATTTATCCAGACTTAAGGGCCAGTCCCTGAAAATATTGTCTGACATTAAACCGATACGTGTGGCAAAAAAAGTTCGGGACCGCTGAGGACTAGAACAGAGAGCTAAGTGTGTGCCACTTATGAAAATGATGTCACCAAGAATGAGAATACGGCACTTCTCAAAATCAGAATGTCATGAAAATGAAGTCGTATAGTTGGAAGAATGGAATCGTAAGGCGAAAAGTAAGGCAATCATTTCCGACGTGATGAGGATCAAGTAGCTAGGCTAACGAGATGGGGGGGGGAAAAGGTTTTGTAATAATAGTAGAGAAAAAAAATCTGTTGTCATTCTCTTACCAAATAAAGGGGGGGGGCAATTGTAAAACTGGTGGCTGGATTTGAACGCAGCCTCACTTCACTAGTAAAACACAACTATCAAGAGGAAAAAATACCATTCGAGATAATCTGCTCGTAAAACACGCTTTTATGGCACACATCTCATGTCGTACTGTAGACGCAGAATACACACACACACACACACACACACACTTTTTTTTTTTAAATTAAGACCATATTGAGTGCAATTTCTATCGCTCTTGATCAGGTGTCTCCTACGATTAAACACTGATATTGAACCATTGCCCAGCCCTAATTCAGCATTTTGTCTGCAAGCGTGCTCTATTTACAACTCTTTTCTCTGGGTCGATAAGTAATTACTTTCAGACATGAACGTTTTCCCTTTCTACTGTATAATGTTTGCGTGAACAACACTAATTAAAAAGGAACACGGGAGCAAAAGGGCTGACATCAGGAGGCTTCTTTGTGGACCAGCCCTTGCTGCGGGGCGGTGTGTTCTCAATATTTTCGTTGTCAAGCTTCTTTGGAACTCTGTTATCAAAAAAAAAAAAACAATTCAAGGAAGCACCATGATGTAATGTGAGAGTGTCTGGCTGCTCTGTTGCCTTGGATACCGTCTTGAGCTGCGACTCGAGGCTGTTGATGTCACGATCAAACGAGCAACCACAAACAGGGCGGAAGGCGTGATGTCCTCTTCTTCCTAATCCTCCTCCTGCTTCTTTGAATCACCTCCACGTTCCCTCTCGGCGTGCGGTGACCCGCAATGATCTTCACTTGCGCAAGTTCTAACAGTTCGCTGACGCAGGGCCAGCTCTCGCTGCTCAGATAATACAACTGCGTTACCTCCACTGACTCAAACCTGTCCGCCAGTCGGACATGTTTTTGTTTTTGTTGTTGTTCTGAATATGTCATGGCGACCAGCAAAAAGTAGACTTTTATTAGGAATTATGATAATGCCTCAGCTGTGAATCCGGTTGGCAGCCGCGGGAGGGTCAAACGGGGTGAGCGCAATGTGATCTGCGTAACGCACACGCATTAGCACACGCTTGGCCCCCATCAACCGCACTGCCTGCCACTGGCATTCTCTGAATGACAGTGCTATTAGAACACGTACACTTAATGGCGTGTAATTTCAACCTTTCAACCCAGGTGAGGATAATTCTGCGGCTCAGTTTAGCTTTACAATTGACATCAATTATAGTCAATTAAAAAAAAATCTATATATATATCTACATATATACATATATAGATATATATGCCACCTTTTGCCAGATTCTTAATAAATTCCGCAATCTTTTCGCTGCATTCCGAGCGGCTATTCAAAAGCATAAACGAAAGATGCAAGTTGTAATTTATTTTTGTGTCTTTATTTATTTTGAAGTGGAATGTTCTGACATGTTTTTTGGAATAGTTTGTGCTATGTTTACAATTGAAATGATCGAGTCTTCATATGATTGTTTTCTCACATTTTAGGGAGTCTCAATTCTTTGCAATTTTGCACACTTTTTTTTCATTTTCATTTGCAGTCTATATATGGCTAGACGAGTGCATCTCAGTCTCAGCAAGATCCAATAACAACTTGAGACAGCAACTTCAATCTAAGGGGACAAAAATCCCCCCTCCTCCCCCCTGCAATCAAAGTACACTTCTTCACCATGATCCCACTCCTCTCACCCTTGCACCTGTCTGGTAATCCAGTATGAGTGAAAGTGAAGGAGAGTGAAGTCATGATAGGGGACTGAGATGTCTCCCAGTGGGGGCTGCTCAGTGAGGTCAAGCAGGCCCTTGGGCCTGTCTGTCTATTCCAAACGTTGTTTGTCTGTGCTGGCCTTTACGTCATGTAATGTGTAGTGTGAGCTCAGGCCACCTGTTGCGTGACCCTGAGAGCATGCATTAATGCTTGCTGTTTTTTACTTGGTCAAGTACTGCGGAGGTATTGGATCCTGACTTGGTATCGGCAAAAACTTGAAAACAAATGACTCAGACTTGGATGCAAAAAAATGCGATTGGGACGAGCAAGAATCTGAATCAAAATTAGCTTCATTGTCATTGTACCACAAGGTGCAACGAAATTGAATAGCGGGTTCAATGTGCGGAAACAACTAAACAAAGCGAGCCTGGTCAAAGGCAATCACCGGGTCAGTTGCGCTGATCATTGCCCAAAAAATTATTATGTTGCTCAATCAGTGATTTATTCACTTTATGGGAAGCTTTTGACCCAGGGCATGTGCTTTCAAGTTGACAATATTTTGCCAAGCTTGCCTTCCTATCGTGGCTTTTGTTCAACTCAGAGCTGAGGTAGAGACGAATAATTGGTTTGTTTGATTGTCATTCTCCTTTAGTGGATTTTTACAGAAGACTATAAAAGCTATCGATCAATTTATTTTCTTTCTGTACTGTTGTCCTCGTTATAGAGTTGTTGATGAACTGGAGCCTATCACAGGTGACTTTGGACAAGGGTCCGAGTACACCCCTAGACTAGTGGTCAACCAATTGCAGCGTCGTCCATATTGAGGGACAGCTGAGTTTTGCAATGTAAACGGACAGACAGATTTACGAGACTCGTTTACAGTTTCACACGAGCGGTTTTGCCTTTTAAATGCCCATAAATACAGATAAGATAAGGAAAACCCTTGTCCTTCCTTTTCCAGGGCCGCTGTTCCAGAGAGAACTGCAAATACCTGCACCCTCCTCCGCACCTAAAGAACCAACTGGAGATCAATGGCAGAAACAACCTGATTCAGCAGAAGAACATGGTCATGCTGGCTCAACAGATGCAGCTCGCCAACGCCATGATGCCTGCCACGCAGCTACCGCCCATGGTGAGAAGACACACCCACAAACACGCCAAGCTATATGTATAGCGGACCCCCCACATATTTGAGATTCTGCATTCACCTACGCACAGCATGTTTTTGTCTACTTGCGCCATGCATACGTTTGACTGTAGTATCTGTGACTTTGAGTGTGTATGGCTTTAAAAGGCAAGTGCCTGGTGAGTGACATGGGTGTCAGTGAATTACAGTCTGGAGTTGGCTGGCTGTTGACAGGAAAACCAGTTAGCCAGTCCGCTTGTTGAGCGACTCGGCGTGAGTTGTGGCCGTCGTCAGCTCGTGTATGTTTGTGCTTATTATGTGTTTGCTTTCTGAGCATTTGTTCACTCAAGCGATTAGTGGCCGCGACTATCCTTGGCCACTTGCATAGACATTAAAATGAAGGTTTTATTGATTATTATCATTTATTAGTTGGTTGTTTATGCTTGCTTATGTTTATGCGGTCGTGGTTATGTCCTTTGTCTGGCAATTCCTAATTATGATGTACATGTCTCCGAAATTATTTGTTGTCATATTGTGGTTCATTATTATTTTGATTATTTTTATCATCATCTTTGAAGGAGAAGAGATCTTTCAATCAATAGAATGTGTAGAAAGGGATGGCATTTTGCACACCTCGACTTTTTTTCATTCCTTTGCGAATATGGAAAGCCGATGCTAAGTGTTTTATTGCCTGTAACTGATGGTTCGGCTTTTGGGTATTGTATATCTTATGTTCAAAATAAACGTGGTACGTGCATGAACGGCGCGGCCCGCAGCTGCAGCCGCGGCCTTTAATCCCTACCTGAGCCCCGTGTCGCCAGGCCTGATGCCCCCGGAGATCCTGCCCAGCACCCCAGTCCTCATGGCTTCCAGCCCTGCCGTCAGCCAAGTCCCCAACGCTGCCGCTGCAGCCCAGAAGCTGCTGAGAACAGACAGACTTGAGGTAACCGCAGCCTTCTTCTCCTGAAATGACAGAAACTGACATCCCTGAAAATGTCAAATGAAAACGCTTCCTGGAGTATTTGTTTGTTTTTACTCAGAAAAGTAAGTTCAACAACTTTAAACAGAATCCCAATCCATCCTTATGTAAAACAACAAAAGTGGTTTTCAACCGCTGAAACTGCCAACAGACATTTTTAGTCTTGTATCTCATCAGTTCAAATCTGGAGAGATGTTGATGATTACAAATCATTCCACATAAAGATCTTCATTGAAATGATGCAAGACTACGACAAATGCTTGCAATTATTTGCATCATCAAGCGCGTATCCAGATGTTCATGTTGAGCATTTCTTTTCATCAAAACATGCTACCAAACTACACATGTTGAAGTATTTACTCACAGTCCAGGACGTGGGCACAACTTGGATTGTGCTGCCACCCGCTGTCTCATATGTGAACTACAGAAATTGTCTGACAAGAAGTTCTGGAGTTGCGTTGCACTATGGCAGCGTTTGCCAACTTTAACTTAATCAAGGCACACATTTTACACTACAAAAATCTCACCCAATATATTAACAAGCAACATCTGAATATCCTGTTCCTTTCTTGTTTATATATAAACATTTTGATCCCTCCTCATTCCTACTCTTTGTTTTGGTGTGTACTTAATGGGTTTGTGCTATTAATATGATTTTTTTTTAATGTGCGGATGTTGCCGCTGTGGCAATTGAATTTTCCCAACTTGATCAATAAAATCTATCCGAATGGCAACAGGTCACGACACAGATTAGCCTTATCTCCTGCCCTCTAGTGGAAGACCATTGAATTACTCTTCCTGTCTCTTCGTCTTGTACGCAACTAGTGTCTTCTTCTTCTTCTTCTCCTTTCGGCTTGTCCCTTTTTTGTACGTAACTAGTGTATATGAATAAATATATTTGTAGTTAATAAAGTTTAATTCTCATAAATTAAGTGAATTTAGATGATTTCCTGCAAGACACCTGAGACTAATGTGCTGTAGCACAGTTATTGGAAATCCTTTTTGTAGTTTTTGAAAACTGCGCACATTCACAGAGACAGCTAAATGACTTGATGACTCATACTTAATCTACATAAACATAAAAAAGCCGAATGGATTGTGCAGTACCACGTGCTGGTTTTATGAGAGCAAGAAATAGTGGAGCGTTAATGGCTTGGATACCACAAAAATTGTAGCACGTTATAAGAAAAATGTAATTATAAATCGGGTGGGCAGCTTTGCAACAATAAAACAAATAGCTCTCCAAATGTCTACCAGCTGCTTTTACATAGAGCAAGAGAACGGCTCCAATTCTTTCTTTTTTTCACTGTTGTTGTCTGGCATAATCATAGTAACCTCATAGGCCGATGAAACACAATGAGGATTGTTGATAAAGATGTTCGTTTGCATTTGAGTCACTGCACTGTATTAAATACAAAATACATGTTAGACATTATAACTACCTTTTTTCCTCACATCAGGTTTTTGGGATATTTTCATTTTTAGTTTTTAAATTTGACCTCTAACAGCTCGCGCAATACGCATTCACCAAATTTATAGGTATGACATTCCAGCTGTTGCTGAACCAAACCCTTAATTCATTACTGAATATATTTCTACATTACAGTTTAAATTTATCCTTGTATTATTTTTATTACTCTGAAAACCTGACGTGCTTGAGAAAAAACAAGGGCAGATTCAGAATCACCACAAAGAAATTGGTACAAATTTTTGGGGGTGTGTGGAATGGATCATTGGCATTTCAGTTCATTTCAATGGGCAACACTGATTTGGAATATGACTACACTGAGTTATGCGTTTGATCACGGAACAAATTCAACTCGAAAGTCAAAGTACCACTGTATATTCTTATGGCTGTCTCTTTGGCTTTAGGTGTGTCGCGAGTACCAGAGGGGCAACTGTTCCCGGGGGGAGGACGACTGTCGCTTTGCCCACCCCTCAGACAGCACCATGATCGACACCACCGACAACACCGTCACCGTGTGCATGGACTACATCAAGGGGCGGTGCTCCCGCGAGAAGTGCAAGTACTTCCACCCGCCGGCGCACCTGCAGGCTAAAATTAAGGCCACCCAGCACCAGGTGAACCAGGCCTCCGCCGCC